TTGAACTTGGTTAGGAAACACAAGAAGATTTCGGCAGGACAGAATTTTGCAAGCGTGTATAAACATTCTACGTTTTCAGGTTGGAAATGCAACAGAAGTGGAGAGCTATGTTCCCCAGAGTTCTAGTGAGACGGAGTGTCTCAGTGAGTTCTGCAGTGAGAACTGTGGACTCTTTAGAGCCAGTTGTGAGCTCCACCGACTGAGGACTGGAGTAGAGGACCTGACTGGACTCCTCGAGACTGACTACGTCTCCCCCTGTGATGTCTGTGTCAGCACTGCCGTCCAGGCCGAGACTGTTGAAATGGGGAATCTACTGGAGAGCACTGGAGACCAGCTCATCCCTTCCACCTCCTTCTACTGTGTGAGTTTACATGTCAGGATAACCCTGTAATATATAGTTAATCTGGATATGGACAGATAAAACTATCGTTATTAGTGAGATATCCAGGGTTAAAATGTGTACAAGAGTTGTTTTTGTGTGGTAAAAAAAAGTTAGAGGTGTCCTCATTAGGGGTGTACTTTTATGCCTTTGTCTTATGTTGCATGCACTTTAGTCACTGCACTTTATGCACTTTCCAAAATTTGCTCTAAGTTGCACACACTTTTATCCATTTCCCTTACATTCACTGTTGTATTACACAGGTACAGCTGGTTCTGATGCCACTCTCTGAGTGTGGCCAGCTACTTGGGCTCCTGGAGAGAGTGGAGGTGCTCACATCCTCCATGAATGACTCCCAGTCTTTGTCCAATCTTCAACTGGTGGTGGAGAGACTTAGCAGCTCAGTTCTCCCACACACAAGACTCTCTCTTGTAAGACACCAGCTAGCAATGCCTAGGCATTTGGCAAGTGAAATCAGCCTACTTAGTTTTCGTAATCCAAAAAGCGTGAAATTTTCATTCAATTGCTGATTCGACTTTTGCAGCAATAATACTACTAATATATACTTTAGCTACCACTGGACCCATGTTAGCTACATCATGCCACTGGCCCAGAGTGTGAGTCAGTGACCTCAACTCAGATATCAGAGGAGGTGGAGGGTCTACTGCCTGGCAGTGGGTGTGGTCTGGAGCCAGGGCTAGTGGTGGGACTACGGACTCTCAATCTCCTCAGATACAACTACAGTCACCTCGTTGACAGACTTCACTTCCTAGGACTGTTATAGCTAGTCCTATGATACTTACGTATGTGCTCATGATAACAACTATCACTTATATTATTAAGTTACAGCTATATTATATATTATCAAACACAGTTTTATTACCACTGCATAATTATTTGGAGAATATTATCATTAAACCCAGTTTTACAGAGTACATCCCGAAAACACGATTATTACTTTTCGTAGAACTGTGGAGCTGTTAGAAAGTGATTCCATAGACAGCTCAGGTTTGGAATCTGACATAGTACACCATGCCAGTAGAGGCCATGGAAACGTAGGACGTAAGGTAAGTGTTGGTATTATGAGTCGGGGGGGTATTATGGGTAAATATTCCAAAAAGATGCCAAACACTGTGTAACTGCTTCCTACCGTCGGGACGTTAGCCCAGCAAATCGTCGCCACATTTTAACACGTGCTGCGGGTTACTTTTGCAACAAAATAGCCAAAAGTCAAGAGGTCACAATGATTGCATCACTGACTCAAAGGGTTTAATTTGGGGGAGGTTTTAAATAAATGTTTTGGTAAAATTATGATTAATTTGTGTTTTTGGCTTTTTTGTATATCTAAGTAATTATTGTGAAACACGACTGGGCAACTATATTTGCTTCATCAAAGATTACGTTTTAAGTCGACTCATAATACCAACACTGACTCATAATTGCTGCTTTTTCAGAGGGTTATAAAACAAATATTTTGCATTACCTACTGTGAATATATTCTGAAACCGATTTGATTTTTAGAATCGCCATGTCCTGATAGTCATGTAACATAGATTTCACTTTAATTCACCGGTATTTGTAGGAAAAATTAAGAAGAAAGTTTAGGTGACTCAAAATACCTTATACCCTGAAAAGCACTGAAGTGCAAACCCTCGGCGCACTGTTACGCACGCGCGTAAGTAAACGCATGCGCCGTACCACTAATTGATGGGCTGGGTTTAGTATTAGCTGTTACTCGTGGTCTCTTGCCAGCTCGCGCAGAGTCTGACGCAGGCTAACTACACTACTAAAGTCTGTTCGCGTTCACCTTGCCGCCGGAAGTGCACTAGTCAAAACTGTTTATGCAAGGTTGCGTCATAATTGAAATACCGCGAATATTTGTGGGCGGTGGATGTATAATATACGCTATTATATGCCGCGCTTGCGTTCCACGTGTTTTTCCGTGAGTTTTTCTAGTAAAGACGGTTTATTCAAACAACAAACCTCTCATTCTTGCCTTTTCCTTGGCCTGGGCTCCCGCAGTAGCGGCGGGGAGAGAGGGTTCTTGCTCGCGCGCGCGTAAGCGCGCACATTGGGACCCGCGTGATTGCATTTTCGTGGTCAAAGGAACGTCGCGTACTTTGCTTATGTGACATACAGCTAAGTACGTAAGTGGGCGTTGGATGCGCTCGCAAACCAGATAAATAGAACCTACGGTCAACTACAACCACGCTGCGCTTTGAAATTTCGAAATCGGTCGCTGTTTAGCTACATTACGGCTTCCTACCGGCAAGGTGAACGCGAATAGACTTTAGATAGCATGCGAGAGGCGATACACGCCCTGCCTTGCATCTTCTGGTGCCTCCGAGGTACGCAGAGCACGCGGATCGATCATGCCGTAGTAAGCCGTGTGTATTTGCATATTGGCTTTTTCCCGTTCTAGCTTAGCAACGGAGCGTTTTCAGAGAAAACCGCCTTTATTTTCTGACCTTCGTCGCCCGTTGGGTAGATTGTATCACTTCTGGGACGAACAGACGTTCGAGGAGTGAGATATAGAGTAACAGACAAACAAACAGACAGACCCAATGAAAAGCACTAAAGTGCAAACCCTCGGCGAAGTAGCTCGCAGAGAGTCTGACACGGGCTAGCTACAGTAGTAGATAGCATGCGAGAGTCGATACAGCCTTCAAGATAGACAGAGCAAGCGAGCCTGTAAGCGCATGCACATTATCCGCCAGCGATAAAATGGCGACTACCGGCATTAGCCATACAATGCTGGAAGCGCTCTAGCTCCGCAATGGAGCATTTTCAGAGAAAACCCCACATATTTTCTGACCTTCGTCGCCTGTTGGGTAGATGGTATCGTATTTGGGACGAACAGACATTCGAGATGTGAGAGTAACCCTCGCTGCGCATGCGCGCCGAGGGTTAAGTACTGTACCTTCGCTACGCATGCGCGCCGAGGGTAATAATTGCGGGGACTAATTTGAGTGTTTTTATTTTATTTTAGCGGTTTGTCTAACATTTTTGTTCTATTTAAGCGAATTTTGACGTCGGCAGATTCAAATTGACCAATCAGATAGCGGATTCGTGCGTGTTTCCACGGAGACGCACGGCAAAAAATGGCGCCTTAGATGGGGGTGTGGCAAACTGAGAGCTCGCCGCGACCCCTTCAAACTCGCTATATCCGATGCTTCTTCGATGAAAGGCCTCTCTACGATGCAAAAATAAACCCCAGCGAGAGCGAGTCTCGCGAAAGACGACGGACCGGGACGATTTTGACGGCCAGCACGGCCTTGTCAATGGATTTAGACGGCTTCGGAGCCCTTAGTAGCGTCGTCTTCGCTGCGCTCAGACAGCAACAGCTCAGGGCCCCTCGTGCCGCCGTCTAAATCGCGTATTTCCATTGACGCGCAGTATAACGACCCTCATTGCGGCACGCATATATTTCAGTCATACGCATGCGCGACTTGACTCTTCTGCTCATGCGCAATTACTGTTGCGGCACTCGAGTAGCTACAGCAGAATGGTCCCTAGTTCATTGATGGCGATCCTGGCTGTGTCTCTGCTGTTGGTGCTAACGGGACTCGCGCCGAGTGCGAAAGGTCAGGTCCCGCAGAAAAGTACACGCTTCTGCCAAATGAAGTCAGTTTTCCTCACAACCAGGTGTGGAGTTTCTTCTCAGAGGAGACTCCATCCCAACTGATGGCAGTGGACGTCTTCTGATCACTGATATCAGTCTCCACAATGGACTGACTAGTACTAGTGATGAGGATGCTCTCTTCTGTCACTCAACTAAAGATGTTACAATACTCCGTGACATTAGACATTAAAGGTGACTGGTATCTAGAGCCTGACTTTGAAACTACCACTGCCTATGGAAAGAGAATTGATGGTGACAATGATCGAGGCTGGACCAGGAACAGAGAAAACACTGTTAATGTAAGCAGTGTTGAATATCGACTAGTGAGATTGAAGCGAGTGTCAGAGACTGCTGTGGAGGGGAAATTCACATGTCATTTTCCCGGAGATAGCAACAACAACAAGTCTCTTCTAATACTATACCCCAGTGAGTATGAGATATCATAATTATGATATCACTGTTTCTGTCTCAATACAGTTATCTCAGTGGAGGCAGTCATTGATGTGGTGACGGCAGATCAATTCAGAGTCCACTGTATCTCCACTGGTGGTAGAGTTCTGAATATGTCTATCACTGGACCACATGGAGTGGTCTCTCCTCTCAGTAATATACAGGCAGTTGGCACTCAGAGATGGATGGGTAATGATAGCTACTCTGGTGTCACTGGGACACTAGAAGGTGCAGATGATGGAGACACTTACAACTGTACTGCATCTAATGGAGTATCATCTGCCAAATGACAGCATTGCAATAGGAGGTACCTAACATTATCATTGTGTCATTCCCTTCATTGCAGTATTATTCTTCAGCTGTCAGTAAACCAGTGATAGAGTCACTAGAGAGGGTCTCCCCCACTGGTGTGAGAGTGGAGTGGAGTCAGCCACCAGGAGGGGCCGCAGTAACTGGCTATGTTGTGTTTTACTATGATGGTAGTGTTACCAGGAATAAGAGGGTATCCCTCCACTAGTACTGAGATCACAGTTAGCCCTGCTATATTAATTTACGTCATCTCAGTGATGGCTCTCTCAGAGGAGCCGTTCCTACCCTCGAAGGAGTGCCTGGGAGACTATCACACTGTGTAAGTGTTATACACAGTAAACAAACACAAGAAAAAGCAGCACAGCACTGCAAACACCTCTAGCAAACACAATAGGATAGTAGACCCCCTCTACCACCCAGGGAGTCCAGAAGGTGTGGTGGTGGATGGCTCAGAGAGCAGCTCAGTCAGAGTGTCCTGGGAGGCAGTGGAGGATGCTGACTACTACACAGTCTCATTCAGTGCAGCAGTGGGAGATGATCAGGAGGGACTGTGCAGAGATGATTCTCATTCTGCTAGTGTGACAGTAGTTGATGTTCCCACTGCCAGTATTACTGTGGGTGAAGATGTAGGATCAAATGACACCTCCTCGTTGAGAGCATACACCACATACTCAGTCACTGTGGTAGCATTCAGTGACAAGTGGGGCAAAACTGTGGGGAGTGAAAGCTACCAGATTCACTACATCTCAGCAAAGTAATACATGATGATTTGTACACTGACTGTTTCATTTGTTTTCTGACTAACCACCCTCTCTCTGTCTACACAGGAGCTGCAGTTGCCCCTAGCAATGTTTCAGCTACTGCTATGAGTTCCACTGCCATCTCTGTTGAGTGGGAAGGCCTTACACAGTGTGAACTTGTCAATGGCCTCATTGTCAAGTACAGAGTAGTGTTCAGAGCTGAAACTGGAGGAGTACAGAGCACAGAGCAGTCTGGAACATGGGATTCATCCTCAAATGTCTCACTGTCTGGACTGACCCCTTCTACCAACTATTTTATCCAAGTCGCTGCAGTGAATGAAGAGGGAGATGTTGGCCAGTATAGTGACACTATTTCTGTGAGAACGAGGCTTTTATGCAGTGACTATAGCTGGCAATGTGTAGCTGCCGCAGTACCAGTTGGTGCTTTCCTGGTGGTAATAGTCATTACTATCGTTCTACTTACAGTCTTCCGCTACAAGTAAGTCACACATAATTAAGTATCCAGTGTGAACCTCTTCCTGGACACTACAGAAACAAATGCAAGAGAAATTCTAAAAAGCATACTTCTGTTGATTATGAGGTCATTCCTCTGGATAATCTATCAGAGCATGACGGAAATGGTAAAACCAGTTCATGTTAAAATGTGTGTATGCAGGGCATGTGTAAATGTGTATGCAGGGCCTCGAATATTACAATTCCCTGCAAACATTGTCCGAGTGGTCGAGGGAGAGAGAGTTGAGTTCACAGTCAAAGTGACGGGGAGCCCCGAGCCGAAACTGACGTGGTACCACGAGGGAGAGGAGGTGATGACCAACTACTCCACTGACGTGGGACTGGACGGATGTCTCTCCATCCCCTGCACCGAGTCCAGCCACACCGGACTCTACCAGCTGGTGGCCGTCAACCCAGCCGGACGGGCAGAGAGACAAGTCACGCTGTTTGTGAGGAAAGAGGAGCAGCCGACTCAGGAGACAACCGAAAACAACCAAGTCCTTCTCTCTCCCGTACCGGTGTTGGATTTTGAGGAGTATGTAGCCAGTGGCCATGCCAACGACAATGCTATCTTCCAAGAACAGTTTAACGTAAGGGAAATAATTATTCAGACCGATAATCACTGATGGTGTCTCCTCCCGTATGCAGGTGGTAGATGAAGATCCTGATCATCCTATGACAATTGGCACTGACCCTGACTCAATACTACTGAACAGATTTGCCAATATCACAGTGTGTAAGTCTATGATGTCATCAAACACTGGATGCGGTCAAGCCTTGTCCTTTGCCCTCTTGTTTGCAGATGATGACAACAGGATAGTTCTCATGCCTATTGATGGAAACCCAGACTGTCAGAGAGACTATATCAATGCCTGCTACATTGACGTATGCTATATCGATCATTCATCATACACACTCACTCTCATTTTTCTGTATCGTTTTATGCAGGGATACAAACACAGGAAAAAATTTATTGCCACCCAAGGTGCTTTCTTTTCTTTTGTGTGATGTATAATGCTTATTGCTCACACAGAGGGTACAACAAGGGTGATGTATGCTGCTTATTGCATACACAGAGCTATTTATTTCTTCTGTGTGATGATAACGCTTGGTTTGCACTGCAGGGCCGTTGGTTAACACAGTGGTGGACTTCTGGCGACTGGTGTGGCAGGAGAGACCGCCCACCATTGTGATGCTCACAGACGTGAAGGAGAAGAAGAAGGTCAAGTGCTACAAGTACTGGCCCGACTCTGGGACACGGTCGTTTGGTCCGTTCAGAGTCACCATCACTGAGCAACAGAGACTGGTGGACTACACCACTAGAAACCTTCTCCTGGAGGTATGGGTGCTCCATCTCATCTCTTTAACATTATGTGCAACACACTGCTTGTATATATGAAGTTGTTTCAAGGGAACACACAACCAACCACCCAAGATGAGTTGTGTGCCTTATCTAAACCTAAAAACCTCATTGTGCACGCCATATCATTTTTCAGTGCATGTAATCGGTGTGTATTGTTTGGTTGTGTGGGTATAGACAGGTAGGAATCACTATGACCTGCACATGTTTGCACACACACACTGTACCTAAACTCACTTGTGGTATTATTTCTTCCCTCACCCTCACCTCCAGTTGAAGGGGAGGTCAGAGAGAGCCCTGAATGTGACCCAACTCCACTACATGGCCTGGCCTGAACACGGAGTACCCACAGAGCCCACCTCTCTACTGGCCTTCCACAGGAGACTCAAGAAACTACACCAGTTCCCCAAGAGACCCATACTGGTCCACTGCAGGTCCACTTCATTCTCCTCTAACCTTCTTACCTATAACATGGGGGTTAGGGTACTAGTGGCAAGTGCACTCTCTTTGAAACTACCGCTATGCCTTTTCACACATCTAAACTCGACATAAACACGACTGGCTAAGCAAGTGTCCCACTTCTCAATTCATAATCTTCCACTACACCTAATCATCAATGGTGCAAAGATAGAGTGTTTGTCGTGCAGTGCTGGAGTGGGGAGGACGGGGACACTCATCACCATAGACTGTGTCCTGGAGCAGCTCCTGAAGGAGAGACTGGTGGACGTGGCTGGGACAATCAAACTCCTCCGCACTCAGAGAATGAAGATGGTCCAGAACCTAGTGAGTCAGTGTACGGCTACGGGGCTCACTGTTTCTGTTTACAAATGTTCTGAATGGGTGATTGTTTATAGTGGAGAGTGTGTGCATGTTTCTTGGCTTCTATTGTGGGTTAAACAACGTAGTAAGCTCATATCGTCTCCATTTGCCACACAGGAGCAGTTCATCTTCATCCACGACGCCATCCTGGAGGAGCTAGTGTGTGGAGAGACTCAGATCGATGCCAGTGGCTTCACAGCTGCCATGGACGACCTGAGCCAACAGCACATACTCACCAACACCACCGGATTCGAGAAACAGTTTAAGGTTATCCCTCTAACACAAACTGTTGTGGAGACAAAGCAAACTGCCAGTGTGTACAGTACTCGTGTCTGTAAACCTGTGCTTGCTATATCAACCTAACAATGTCTAGCTATGTGTTAGCTTGCACAGTTTTTGTGCAAGCATGTGGTTAGTGTGTGTGTTTTTGTGCACCTAACTTTGATTACTTAGACTGTTTCTTTGCCACTGCAGGCACTGAGTAAGCTGTCTCCCAAGCCACAGAACAAACCACGGAAATCAAATTGGCGAAAAAACAGAAACTCTGTTTTCTTACAAAGTGTGTTCTGCCGATAGCGTCACACTGCTTTACAGTGTAATTGTATACATGCCCACAGGTCTTGATGGTCGGGCTACAGAGTTGGAAAATGAAGTTGTTTTTGTAAATGTAAGTTTATTGAATAACAAAGAGATACCAAATCTTTCCGTTTGGACTTGAACAGGGTTACAAGCAGAAGAAGGCATTCATTGTTGCCCAGAGCCCCAGTCACTCTTCCGCCAGAGACTTCTGGAAGATGGTGTATGACATGAAGTGTGGGGTGATTGTCAATCTCAACACATTGGAGGAGATCACAGAGGTACGCATGACACAAACTTCCTCCTTGATGAGAAGCCCTCACAATCATACTTCTCAGAAGAGATTATTTCCCCATTAATGTGTACTTGATCCCAGAAGGGGATTTCCCATTTATGGTGTGTATAGATGTTAGAACTTTCCGGAGAGTTCCAACTCCACCCTTTCTGCTGTCACGCAGGAAGTCTTCCACCAGTACTGGCCTGATGAGTCGGGAGTGATGAAAGTGGGAGAGTTTCTGGTGGACTCGCTGCAGGTTGAACAACTGCCCAGCTTTTGTATCCGTTCCTTTAGTGTTTTCCCGGAAAAGGTTAGCAACAGGTTGCCAGTTTTTTCACATAATTGTGCCCCCCCCCCAGTCAGGGAAGGCCCTCCAAGTATTCCAGATCCACATCACCTGCTGGACTCCGGATGGACAGTGCTCCAACCTCAAATCCATCGTCGACACCATCTCTGAGATGACCAAGTTCCAGAGAAGGTCCAGTGGAGGACCGGTGGTGGTCCACTGCAGGTGTGTGGCATAGCTACGCTGTCCGTGTGCGTGTGTGCGTGTTGTGTATTTGTGTGTTTGCGTGAGAGATCTTTAACTTTAACTCACTCACCACCCGGTTCTGAATGCTGGGCATCTCATGTATATATGAACGAGTTTGTATGTGTGCTTTTGTGTGTGTTTGTATTGTTTGTTTTTCTGTCTTCCTACTCGTTGGCTAGTGTGCTATAGCTATATACCCCCAGGTAAGGTCATGTATTCAGTAGCCATATCTCCCTTATAGCATTGCACAGTTTGGTGTGTGTGAGCCACTGTAATTCTGCAGGCCTTATGAGAAATTTGTTAAGGGTTAAGGCAAACATACATGAGGCAGCTTGGTTGTTTCAACAAAACTTCTAATGTGTATTGGTATGATCGACCCAGGCAACAAGTTGCCAGAAATAGACACATCATCTATTTCTGGCATTAGCAGAGTTAAGTATGGGTTTCACCTCTCTTAGGCTTTGACATGTGCGAGAGATTGAGACTGGCTACGGTTTCTGCAGGATGTGGCTACATGTCGGACATGCGTTGCGCAGCCCAACTGCTCTTTAGAGGCGTATAGGTTTTGTATTAAGTTACGGAAGCTATTTCCATTGAATTATTATAGTGGGTGCTGGTTTGTAGGGTGTGAACAGTTGCAGATGGTGGCCGTTCTGCAATAAAAGACGTGAGATCAGCGGTGTGTTTTCTGATGGCATTTCCAGAAACCATAGACTACAGCATCAAATTCGTGGTAGCTAGGCAAGTTAAAGCCCGTAGCAAAACCAAATTATATGGTTATCGCTCATGGTGGGCGCATGATATCAATGAATTGGTTGTACGTATCCACTGTGACACAGTTGGGAGGTCAGCGATGCTAATGTTCTTCATTTACACAGTGACACAGTGGGTAGGTCAGGGATGTTCTGTGCCATAGTCACCCACCATTGAGAGGTAAG